TGTGAAGATCCCGGTAAACCTGAATGGAGTCAGAGGCAGGAGCCCTAGAGTGGGCCACAATCCAGCGGCAGCCAGGGTCCCTGGAGGACTTACAGTGGCCAAGCCCCACGCTGAGTGGGGCCCTCAGGGGACCCAGGCTTCAGGGGATCGTTCTACAAATAGCTCCTGTCATGGAGGTGCCTGGCCTCAGCACTTGAGCCACTCTTGTCAGATCTTCCTGGACTTGGCTAAATTCTTTTTTTTTTAACTTTATACTTTATTAGTACATATTTGTCATACATATTGATCACATTTGTCACAGAGAATTTGTACCTGTACGTAATATACCTTGATTCTTCTTTTTCCCATTCCCCTCCCATCCCGCCAACCCTTTTTCCCCTTCCTAGTTACAAAAGCTTTGTTTCCATTTTTTCCCTCTATTCTTTTTTTCCCGTTTCTCTTCCTTCTCTTCCCCCTCCCCCTGCTCTTTTTCCCCTTCCCATGTGAACTTGCTCTTCCTACTTCCCAGTCCTCCATTATGCTCTTTGTTTACCCTTTGGGTTTCTCACACAAGAGAAACTGCAAGATTTAAACTTGTGAGTCTGATTTATCTCACTTAAGACAATAATGTCATTCTTACAAACGACTCTAGTTTGTCCTTCTTTATGGTGGAGTAGTATGCCATTATATATAAACTAATTTTTAAAAATTTTAATGGACCATAATAATTTCTTTTGTTGTTTTTTGTTTTTTGAAGACAGTCTGTCTGTGTAGTCCAGGCTGGCCGTGAACTCACCATGTAGCCCAGGCTGGACCTGTACTTGTGGCAATTCTCCTGCCTTAGCCTCCCAAGTCCTGGGATTATAGGTGTGTGCCACTATGCCAGGTTCAATGCATGGTATATAAATGCCACATTTTCTTTATCCATTCATTTGTTGATGGGAATAAGCGCTGTTTCCAAGATTTAGCTATTATTATAAATTGTGCTGCTATATGGATTTAGCTAAATTCTGAGCGAATTCTGGCTCCCACTCTGCCCCATTTGGTTGCCTGGCCCTGGTCCTCCTCATGTGTCCTCATGCCTCTTTGTGGCCCTGTGGACTCCTGGCCAGGGCTGAGGTGCACGGAAGAGTCTGGAGAACTGTGCAGTCATCAGCTGTCATTTATTCCAGTGACACCTCCCCTGTGTATGTGCAGTCCCATCTCGGCAACATGCCCATGTCACACATACCTGTATGTTGACAAACAAATGCGTGATACCTCCATGCACATGGGAGAAAACAGGAACGCTCTTGATGGCCTCAACCCCAGGGACACTGCTCCTGTTTGCAGCCTTCTGTCCACACTCTGCCACCTCAGAGCCTCCCTGAGCTCTACATAGTGCCTGAGCACCACCTGTGGTTTGTTTTCATGTTTTGAGACAGTAGCATTTTCCAAGAGTCTGGGCTGTTTTCTTTTGAAACAGATTCCTGTCCTGTGGTCCAGATTCCCCCAGGTGAATATTTGGGGCAGCAGGGTGACGTGAGTGGCAGGCCATTAGGAAATCTAGACCACCAGTTCCCCTGAGAGTAAGGACGTGACTTGGACCACTCAGTCAGGCAGAGATAAGCCAGAGTCCTCCATGGTCAAGGTCAGTAATTCTTGGAGACCACAAATAGCATGTTTTCCCCCTAACCATTTACCCAATAGTTTTAGCATCAATTGACAAATTAATTCATTATTGCTGAATTACAACTTTCCAAGTTTATCATACTTCCAGTTTGTTTGTTTGGTTCGGTTTGGTTTTCTTTTGCTTGCTGGGCGAGGGCTGAATTTATGTCCTTGAATGCAAGTGCTCTGTCTCTGTCACTGTGTCACATCTCTATCTGATTGGTCCAAACTTAGCCAGTGAGACCTCTTCCCTGCTGGTTCTTATGCTACGTTTTATTTTGTTGTTTTCTTGGTAGGGAATAACAACTACTTCGTCCTTCGCCTCCTCCTCCTCCTCCTCCTCCTCCTCCTCTTCTTCTTCTTTTTTTTTTTTTTTTTTTGTACCTGAGATCACACTCAGGACTTTGTGCCAGGTGTGGTGGCGCGCATCTGTAATCCCAGCACTCAGTAGGCTGAGGCAGGAGGATAACTGTGAGTTGGAGACCAGCCTAGGCTACATTGTGAGTTCTAGGTCAGTCTCAACTACAAAGTGAGACCCTGTCTCAAAAAGAAACAAAAACAAACAAAAAAACTCAGGACTTTGTGCTTGCCAGGCAAATGCAGCACCAGTGAGCTAAATCCAGGCCTGATAACTTCTTATTACTATATTTTAAACTTGTTAGGGCCTGGGAGTGCAGTTCAATGGTAGAGTACTTACTAGCATTCTTAGGCTCAATCCCCAGCACCACAGAAGAAGAACAAGAAAGGAGGGCAGAGAAGAGGCTGAGGAGGAGGGAGAGGAGAAAGAGGAGAAAGAGGAAGAGAAGGAAGGGAAGAAGAGTGAAAGTTGCAAGAACAGTACAAGAAATTCCTGTAAGTTGGTTGTGGTGGTGCACACCTGTGATCCTGGCACTTCGGAGGCTGAGGCAAGAAGATCACCTTGAGTTCAAGGACATAGTGAGGCTGTGTAGTGAGTTTAAGGCCTCAAAAAACAGAAACAAACAAAACAACAACAACAAAAAGAATCTCCTAATACATTTTAGCCAGACTAAGCAGTTTTTTGTTTTCCCATTTGCTTTGTCATATTCTCTCTCCAGATATGTACAAAACTTTTCTGAACCATTTCGGAACAAAGTGAAGACATCGTGTCCTTTTGCAACTGATACTTTCATGTGTATTTCCTAGGAATAAAGTCATTCTATGATATAATCACCATTTTGTTACATCAAATGGGAAGAATCTACCATCAGTATCATACCACTAACCCATAGTTAATGTTGCAGTGGTATCTTTCCTATCTCATTTCTTTTTCTTTCTTTTTTTTAAATTTTTTTATTTTTTTATTTTTTGCCGTAGTGAGCATTGAACCCAGGGCTTTCAAACTGAGCTACACCTCCAGATCCTCCACTTTGGAGACAGGATGTCACTTAGTCCCTAAGTTGCCCAAGCTAGGCTCCGCACTTGGAATCATCTTGTAGCCTCCCAGAGCGCTCCCAGGCCCATGCTTTGTTTACTGTTACTTCTTGACTGTTTAAAATATTTATTTAGCCGGGGATTTAGCTCAGTGGGTCTTCAGCCTGCTTCGCAAGCACAAGGTCCCAAATTCAATCCCTGGTACCAAAAAAAAAAAAAAAAAAAAAAAAAAAGAACCCTTAAAATATTTATTCAATTCAGAAGTTATAAGAATAAAATGAGCTGTGGCCAGATTCACAACCCCCCCAACCCCGCAGGAAGCCAACTTCTGTCTCCCTTGGAGTCTGTATTTCTCTTAACAAAGATGAGCAAGTTCATCTGAGGATTTAGGAAGGACACAGCTGTAGAGCCTTCTTCTGACCCACAGGTGACAGAAGACATATCCCCTATGCTGTCTTCACTGCAGTCCTCCACAGTTGGGTGGCTGATTTAGTGTGGAATGTATTCCCTGCTTGAGGTTAGGCTGTCACATAGTCCAGTCAGCCCCTTGGAACTGGACCGGCTGAGGCAGGAAGGCCAGGCACCTGCCTGCACTAGAGCAAGACTTGCCACCTCCTTGCTTCTGGCCTCAGCACAGAGCAGACCCTGCCTAGCCCTCAGGGCCTCACCTGTGGCATAGGAACAGCCACAACAGTGACCTCACAGGCAAGCCACTCTCTGTGGGCAGTAAGTGCTCGTGGGCTGTGGGAGGCCCTGAGCCCAGCTCAGAGAAGAGCTTGCAGATTACCCTGGGGCTGGCCTGGGGCTCTTTCCAGACGTGCTGAGCTGCCAGCACAGGGGCTATTTTCTGCTCCATTCTTGTGCTTTCTGTTCCACTGTGTGTCAGAGCTCCTTGGGCAGCTGTTTTCTCTCCTCTCTCTGCTGAGGATAAAACCTGCCAAGCGTGCCTGCTGCTTGTGCCCTGTGTCACAGTGCCAAGACAGGACGATCGTCAGGGAACCTTCTGATACATACATCAATAGGCAGCCAGACACCTGGGAAGGTAAGACTCTCAACTCGTACTCAGTCA